CCAGCACCTGAAAATAATCAAGAATTAATACAATTAAAAAAGAAAGCTGAAGAACTAGAAGAAATGTTAGTGGAGTTGATTAAGAATAAATGTCTAGTAACAGATGAATATAAAGATGGTATAATTGATACTTTAATAATTACAAGATTGGGATTACAAAAAAAAACTTAGAATTAGAAAAGTATAAATTAACTAAGGAAAAAGAAAGAATTGAAAAGGATTATAAAAACTTTGAAAATAACATTACTGAAGTAGTTTCAAAATATTATGAGCCAACTGATGAAGAAATAAAAATAGATAAAGATAATTGAAAAGAAGAATTCATTGAGCAATTAAGAAATGAAGAGAGAAATAGCAAAATAATTAAAACTATTGAAATTATTGAAAATTGAAAGCAAAAAACTAAAGAGGCAAGATTAGATGCTGAAACTCACCTTGAAGCCTTAGAAGTAGCCCAAGAATGGAGAGAAAGACAATTAGCTGAGAAATTAGAGCAATTAGAAACAGTTAAGAATCAGGAGATAAGTTGGCAAGCCCAAGCAATCCAACAACTAAAACAAACCTTTTGACTTTCGCATGGTTGCGAAACTCTCTAATTTTGGAAACCAACACTAGTGTCAACATATTATAACATTAGTTCATACATTAACATTTATGTTTATGAAACATGATGATGATTTAACACCTACTCTGATACCTTCTACATCCTACAGAAATTTACACAAGGTATATATTATTTGTGCATGTCAAAATGAAGAATCTGTTTTGCTCAACTTAATGGTTCAACTAATAATTTTTTGCATATAACTTTAAGATTCTTGAAGGATCAGAGAGTGAAGAGTATGAAGAAATATTGAACAAGGACAATATTTTAGAAGAAGAAGCACAGAAGTATTATCTTCATTTCAAGGAGAAGAAAAAAGATTCAGAATTACTCCACTTCATATATTGTACTATTAAAAATTAATTATAAAGAAACAAATCTTGATGGAGTTATAATAAGTGCTTATGATAGAGCAGGGTTGGCAAATGTATGGTCCATTGGTGGTCTATTGGTGATCCATTTGTTCCATTATAGCCATATTTAATAATTTATTAATGCAATGGACCAGTCCAAAGTCCATAAACTCTCAATGGACCAGTTAATCTGCCAACCCTGTGATAGAGTAATTGGATTTGGAACCAAGGTATGTTTTTTAATATTTGTAAACACATGTGTTGTGTTTAGGTAATTCACTACATTGGGTTTGAATTATTTAATTATACATATGCATAGCAGAGATGAACCTGACTTATATAAATAAATAGTTACTGGTTGACATATTATTTATTAATTGGTCCATTATTTATATTTTGTAGCAAGACAAAAATGCAATATTAAAAAAAATATTGAAAAAAATTGAGGAATGAAAATTTTTTTCTATAACAATATGTATGGAGATTTAGATAAGATAATCATGGGAAATGAGTTGAAAAAAGTATTTTTGAGAATAGTTACAAACTCAAAATACATGTGAAACTGTAAAAATTATTAGTAAATATCTCAATATTAGTGCAATTTTGAAATATTAGAATTACTAATTAATTGAATTGTATATACAGTCGGAACTCGTTAAACCAGTGTGCTTGTTTTGGGCTCAAAACATCGTTTTATCGAATATTCATTTTATTGAGTAGTCTTCGATAAAACGAAGTTAATATATTTTTTAAAAAAAATTCGGTTTAAAGAGTTATACATCAAAATTTACATATTTGTTTATGCTACATTGATGTGCTAATGAACTTTTATAAAATAAAATGCTACTTCTAACAGAACGAATAGTAGAAATTTGCTTTGTTGAAGTTTCAAATTTTTCTGGCGGGTAAGTTATGAAATTAAGAAGTACTTCAGCACTTTTTAATGCTTCAGTTAAAGTAGGTCTGGATATTTTCCCTTAAGTAAACGTTTATTATGTGAATTGGGATCTTCTGGATTAATACTAAGATATTCCGACTTTTGTTTCAATATGTCACAAACAGTATTTTCATGAATTTTAAATTGAGTAGCAAGGTCTCTATTCGTTGGAGTAGGTTTCAATTGTTTTAGAACACATATTTCTCTTTTTTCTTTTAATGTCAGTGTATTTTTCATTTTATCTTAATGTAGAACAATATGTACTACTACTACTGTAAATCATTTATAAAATTATACAAAATAAAGCGAAGTTTCTTTTGATAAACCGTATTATTCGTCTTATCGAGTTATATTTAATATATGTGGAACCATATGCAAACCCTGTCTTAAACATTTAAGTGAAACAATAGGAATATTCGTCTTATCGAGTTGATTTTATTAATAAATGAATAGGGAAACTAGAAAAACTTCGTTATAACAAAAATTCGTTTTATTGAGTCATGTCTTATCGAGTTCCGACTGTAGCTTTCAAATGAATCTAAGATCGTCAACTTATTCCAAGAATTGGCAGAATTGCAAATTTTCAAATTTTCAAATTTTGAGTACAAATAGATTTAAAAAAAATCCAAACTTATTTTTTATACACCAATGAACAGCAATCATCTATAAGCATAACATGTAGGTTATGAAGGTGAGGCCACAAAAATTTTTATTGAATTTTGGTTAAGATAAATCAAATAATAATGATTAATTGATTATATGAATAATTTAAACATAGATTATTGATGTTTTAAATTTTTGGCGATCTTAAAATAGACATGGTAATAATATATGATTTTTTAGTGTGGTGAATGATGGAAGTTTAGCTTTCGAATGAATCTAAGATCGTCAACTTATTCTAAGAATTGGTAAAATTGCAAATTTTCAAATTTTTGGATTCAGATCAGTTAGAAAGGTTTAAAAGTATCAAAGATAATTTTTTTTAGATCAATGAATGATAATCATGTATAAGCATAATATATAGATTAAGGAGGTAAGGTTACAAAGTTTATTTCAATCAATTGAATTTTGATGAAGATTAAAACAAATGATAATGATTAATTGATTATGTGAGTAATTTAGGTGTAGATTGTTGATATTTTAAATTGTCTACGATCTTTAAAGCCTACATAACAACAATAATGATTTTTTTGGTATAATGAATTATGGAGCTTTAGCTTTCGAATGAGTCTAAGATCATCAACTTGTCTCAAGAATTGATAAAATTGCAAATTTTTGAATTTTTGGATTCAATTGGGTACAAAAGATTTTAAAAAAATCAAAGGTAATTTTTTATAGATCAATCATATGTAAACATGATATTAATATGTAGGTTAAGAAGGTAAAACTACAGAAGTTTTTATTTTAATCAATTGAATTTGGGTGGAGATTAAATCAATTGTTATTGAATAACTAATTAT